CAACTTTATTCTTGACTGCCACATATTATTTGTTAAGTTGATATATTTTTTATTATGTTTCCCCCAAACTGTAATTGTTTCTAACTCAACATTATATTAAATTAAATTCAACGATCCGATATATTCACTTGCTAAAAGCTATCGAGTGTCACTGCAGAATTTTGCATCCAGTTAAAAAGATCAGGTGACAGGTCCGATTAAAGATTAGCATAGTATTAAGAAAGACGGAAATCTCGTTAATGAGAAGAAATGAATGTTGAATTGTTATACAGTCTTCCTGTATTACAGGGAATTTAAAACAATCTCCTTACAAGTGAAGAAGAGACTTGAGTCAACAGTGATTTCGTTCTAAAAAAGGATACCCAGGGTACCATGGATGAATGGAAAAAAACATCAACCGGGAAGTTTTAAAGGAAACGGAAATAAAATGGATACATACACTACAGTTCAAAAGATTGAGGCAGGGGTGGACTGAGCCATCGGTCCAATCGGACCTTGTCCAAGGGCCCGGCACTGCAAGGGGGCCCGAGTCAGGCGGGCCCCCATGTGTGTGTTCCTCATGGCCGTGCGGACTGCCGGACACAAGTACGGGCAGATCCGTGACCGTGCAAAAATGAAAATTTGGAGAAGAAAAAGTCTCTTCGTTAGCCATCAAACTAAATATGTGAAGAAAGAAAGAAAAACAAAGAAAGTAAAAGAAAACGAAGAAAACTTACGAATGAAAGCAGTAAAAAAATGTCTCTGTTTTTTTTTGGGACTGGTAAGTTCAAACCTGGTTCCCAGCTTCCGATTCAAAACAATTCCGCCATTCCAGTGATTGATTCCCGTAATCGATTCCCGTGATCGCTGAAAATTGGGGTTCTCTACACATACAGGTAGAACCTAAGTAGGCAAGGAATCGGATTCGTCTTGGTATCGTAATCGTGAATCAACATTTTCCTGGAATCGGAAAAAAATTAGGAATCGTCCCAACACTAATCTTAAACAATTTTTTTTTCTTATTTAAGCCAATATGCACAGATCACCTGCTGCACAGCCTCTATATGTGGCATTTAACTGTAAAAAATTGGGAAAGGGGGCCCATTGCATTTTCTGTCCGAGGGCCCGTAATACTCTCACTCCGCCTCTGGATTGAGGTATTGGTTACTCTTTAAATTGACCCAAAAGTAGTTGTTTTGTACTTTAAATAAGATAAAATTATTGTACATGGTTAAAACATGCGAGACATTATTTTTTATAACAAATTTTATTATGACAAAAAGAAAAAAATATCATTTTATGATTAAAGTTTGCTCTAGTCAAAATATCGTCTTTTAACCTTGATTATTGAAGCGAAATTTTTGGCATTCGTTGCAAAAGTTTCTCAAAGTATAACTTAGATAATTGATTCTATTCTTTTCTCAATGACTCTAAGAGCTGATTTTTTATTTTTGGAATGGAAAGTTTTCACTATTCTCTCAAGTTCATCCCATGTAATTCTGGGGATTGCTCAAACTTTTGATCTCTATTGTACATCGAATAAGAAAGAAACAGTTAAAATTTTCAGGAGATATAAGAAAAGAAGGCTTGGAAAATTAGATTATCTCAGGATATATTGGAAGCAAGAGAGATATAGGGAACAATGATTAAAGAACAAAACAAGCTTGTGTTTATAAATACTGAAGGAAGAATTGGAGGGTAAGGAAAAGACAAAGTTTTCTTAGAGCTACGGTGTTTGAAGAGAAAAATAAAATTAGAATGTACTGTTCATCCCATAAATTAAACTTATACCCAACTAGAAACTTTACCTTTTAATCTAGATCACTCCTGTTAAGTGAAATATTATCAGCTAGTGGAGCTCAATAAAAGCCAAGCCATTTTTCTTCTCTCTCTTACATAGATACCATTTCTCACTTGGGTAGAATCATATGTGAATGCTCTCTCTCTCTCTGTCTCTCTCTCTCTCTCTCTCTCTCTCTCTCTCTCTCTCTCTCTCTCTCATCGAATAGAGCGCGACTTTGTTTGATTTTATATTCGGGTAAAGTGCAACTAAAAACAAAAACAAAAATTGAGAGGAGCCCGGTCCCTGGAAACAGCTACCTGCGTCAGTAACTCCCTCATTGCACTAAATAGTGGAGATTGATAATAATAATAATAATAATAATAATAATTATAATAATATTAATAATAATATGATACCAGTTCAAACAACGTTTGTGGGGAACTGGGCAATTTTTGTGTCCTGGACCGGGACATATATATATATATTCTCATTCTGCTTCTATCTATCTGTATTTTGAGTCCGCTTTTATCTGCCTATCTATTCCCAATGTTCTTGTACAGTTCAAACATATCTATCGGTCATAGAACTGGATTGAAACACGGCTGATATCCTGAATCATTCATAAAAATTCAGAATGTGGAATTAATAATTACAAAACCCTTCACTTTTCTCTGTTATAAACAAAAATATTATAGGCGATAAGGATATTAAAATTGAATAGGCTGCAGTATATATATATATATATATATATATATATATATATATATATATATATATATATATATATATAACGTTTTTTTAGATACAGGTATTTAAGTAAATGCTCTTTTTTTAATAAACAGTATTAAATAACATTTACCGGCCTGAATGTTATTTCATACTGTTTATTATAAAACAGAGCATTTACTTAAATAACTGTATCTATAAAAAGAGCGTTAAACATAAAATTTGTCCATTTCTCAATATATATATATATATATATATATATATATATATATATATATATATATACACGAGTCTCACCTGCGGTCTTGGATAAACTTCGATCTAAACAGCTGGGAGAACAAAGTACATTCATCATGATAGGTGAATATGAACCCCTCGATGTAGCATAGCAAGCTTCTCAGGCCAGAACAATTACGACTGAGTAGTGAGTTCGATCCTCACTGGGTGCCCCTAGATTCAGGCTTATGCTATATCACAGTAATCGGCCAAAATTCAACATCTGCTCTGTAAGGATATCAATTCCCCCACACACACTCATTGGCGTTAGATTAGAGCTCAGCTCACAGTCTCTTGTCATCTAGATTTTCGAACGTCCGCCCTTAATCGATGTTACAGTCATTATTGATATTTAAACAACAGACAGATCGTTGATATAAATTTGAAAGAGGGTGCGGTTGCCTGCATTGATCATGGGCTTCAGAAGACAGGTCATTGGCAAGTAAACTCATTGACCTACCTGATAGGAAGAAAAATACGAAGACCCTTTAAATAATTCCTTAATTGGAGATTTTGTACAGCAACATCCTCGGGCTCTATTTTCAAGGGCCTTTGGGGTATCTATCAGAGATGATCTCTGTGATGATGAATATATTATCGATTGCCTCACTGATACCGTGTGTAATGACAGGAAATCAGCCGTCAGTGTAGCGTATCGAAATTCATTCTGCTTGTTGCTCAGGAGGGTGTTTCTGTTGAGGTGATCCACGGAAGGGAAATAATGTTGCTCCAGTTCACTCGAATTAAAAACAAAATAGATGTTCTTCCGTACATAAAACTTCATTGACGACATTTGACATAAATTCAAAGATCAAACGTATACATGTACAATTTCTTTCCATATGCATAATATACCCAGGTTCTGTTTGGATTTTTTAATGATTTCACCTCAAGCAAGGCAATAAAGCCACTAAAATGCAAAGATATATTGAGTTTGAAGGACTATGAAAAATTCACTTTTAAAGAGACTGAACCATAAAAGTAAGGAATTAAGAAAACTGACTATAATGATTGACAACAGATTTAAATTTTCGAAGATCAAAGTTGATTGGGAAGTTAGAAGCAGGAAAGGATTTCCACAAGTGGGAAGTGCGTCATAGGAAACTGCTAGCATAAAATTTTCACTTACCTTATAGCCATTTCAACTTGAAATTGATGAATTACAATTGAAAACCATAAGGTACAAATATTAGTGTAGTTGAAATGATAATTAATTGAATCCAGCAAAATATTGTCGAATTGGTATCTCATTCATTATAACAATTTATGGAGACGTGCTTTATGGTGGGTAAAGTTTGGAACTTCAAGAAAACTATCCTTTTTCCATGTCAAAGAGATTTTTTTTCTGTTGGTAATCGTTCGCTGTGAACGCTCTTTAAAAATGGAGCAGAACTCTCCCGGCCTTCAAACGCATTGCGACTATAAAATCTGTATACTTTCAAAAAAATGATCGTCTAACTTCTGACGTATCATTTCAAGGGTCTCGGTAGAAAGTTCATTTTTGCGCGTTGTTCAAATTTGTCAGCCACCGTAAAGGTCGCAGAGTCGCTGCAGTAGAATTTTACACAGCGTTGTTTAATAATTAGATATGCGTAGAGGACACAAATGAAGACATTCTGAAGAATGATGGCCCAACTTCACAGATTCACTGCATTACAAACTTTACACAACTTAATAATTGAATGTGCGTAGATAACACAAAGTAGGACAACTCGGAATTCTAGGTACCGAAGAGCGTTACATAAGCGAACACTTCCACTGAAAAGTGCAATTGCAAAATATGACGCGTTTTCAACATTTGATAATTTTACGGCAATACGCACTTAAATGCTTTAGGCAGTTTTGATCAACATTTCTTTTCATGGTTATCCGCAAGAAATTTTAAATGTAGGACTACATTACATTTAAATAATAACAATAATAATATTTATATTACAAGAAATATCAAGTTTTACGGAAACATTGTTGACAATTATGTATTTATTTATAAAACAAATAAATAAAAAATAATATAAATTTTGTTGCTATGTTCGATTTGTTGTTAGGTATTTTTTTCATTTTCTCCTTTGTTACTGGCAGTATTGTAGAATAATTTGGCTGCAATGCTAAGTTTCCTAATTTGAACAAACTGGAGCAATTTCATTTACGCTTTGTTACCTCTCTTTTTCATTGTTGCTTTTAGATCACTTTCCTCCAGTCATTTTGATGGGCAATAGCGAAATTCTGAAATGTAGAAAGATCTTATTTCATTTAAAAAATAAAGCCTATAAAGAGAAATATTTAAAATTAATATACGACCAAAAATAAAATGCTTTTTTACAAAAAAAACCTTAATGATTTCAATATAATTAAACAGCAATAATGTAATAAATATATTGTATATGTTATATCATCACTTTGCATGGTTACAAGCTATAGACCTAAATTGAGCTTGAAATATTGTGTAATCGGGTCTAATTTTTTTTGTAAAATGCAGTGACAAAAGCAATTTTTGATTTTTTATTGAAATCGCCCATCCTCCACCGAATGTGTCACATAAGCCCAGGTACTTTTCGATGCAAATCCGTGCAGATTATTTAATGGAAATGTCATTAATGGTCGTTTCCATATTTCCGTAAACATTCCGTGTTCATTGCCCAAGCAGTCAGGGCTGCTGTCAGTTAAAATTTTCTAAAATCTTTACAGTAAAACAATTTTTATGGGAAATACATTTCTGAAGACTACTAGCTGCTATTGCCCTTTCCAGTATTGATGGTTTTTTTCATTCTGTTTGCTGCCGTATGCAACATCAAAATTTTGCCTGTCCTTATTCTTTCATCAAGTTACATGTGCTACCGATTTTAGTTGTTACTGCTTTTGAAAGTTCTCAAGTGACGTGGTTTCTGCTATCTGGAACAGTTCTTAGTCTGTGATTAAGTGACGAGGTTCGTGCAATGGTGGTACTGGTTTAGGCCTACACCCTTCACTCGCTCGAAGCTATTTATAGTCATCGATCTGAACAAGTAGTTGTATACAGCAGACAGTTTACATAATTCTGATCGTATTTGGCAGCCTGTACAGCATCCATATGGAAGTCATTGAGGAACATGACTCTAGATTTTATGTTAATGTTTTCGTTTTGTATGATGTTACGGTGTTGGACGAAACTACCACAAAACAGCCTATTCTATGTTCATTTTTTTTTCTTCTTGCACAGAAAATCTACGAAACTTTAAGCTTCTAATGATGCTTTATTCAAAGCTATTAACCACTGTACATATGTGATATTCGGCCATCAGTTTTTATAATACAATAGTTCGAAGTGGAACCAACTATGGTCGTATTCACCAGATTCTTCCCCGCTTAAACAGTAAGGCACATTTTGCAAAGCCATCCTTTATTATTTCTTCCCGGCTTAGTGTCTTTCGGACTTATAGGTACAGTTTTAAATGTTCACCCTATTTTTGTTGCCTAGCGGCGAGATAAAGAACAAAAATAGAGTTTTTATACTTAACGAACATTTGTTTTCTGCAGTTTCATAGTCGTTGCAAGAAAAATATTTGTATATATCTAATATATATACAAATATATTTGTTTAATATATACATATACAATATATATTATATTTGAGTAGAGACATTGGGAAATAACAGCGAATGTTTTTCCGTCCCCGATATTTTCGTCGACGAGCAAATCGAATAAAGATTTCCATTGGTATTAACAGTAAAAGAAGGGCATGGAGAATCTGATACTCACAGGTCGAATAGAGGGAAAAAGAGACAAGGGAAAGCAACGCATGACATATCTGGCGGGCTTGAGCAAGTGGATGACGGAGCATGGTCTATGGGAGATGTCAGAAGGACGAAACTTATTGAGAGCTACAATGGATAGGGGAAAGTGGAGAGCCATGATTGCCTACGTCCAGAAAGGACACGGCACATAAAAAGAAAAAATTATCTGATACAGACGAATCTAAGTCTACACGTTACATGATCGGACACTTGTCTATAAATGCTTTGAATAAATTATAAATTGGATATTTTTGTTAATTCAACCCAAAAGAAAAATAATTTATATTTACTAAAATTCACATCAAATTCCCCGAGAGGGAGACCTTTCCATTGCATTCTGGTTGGGTTACCTGGGCGACTCGGGCCTACTACTTCTAAGTGTGGTGGCTACATTCGCGCTCACCCGATAAACAAGCCAAAAAAAAGGTTGTTTTTTTTTAATTATAAAAAAAAAATCCTTGTAAGTACCTC